ATAGAATAGAATAGAATAGAATAGAATAGAATAGAATAGAATAGAATAGAATAGAATTCTTTATTGGCCAAGTGTGGCTGGACACACAAGGAATTTGTCCTGGTGCAAATACTCTCAGTACACATTAAAGAAAAGATACATTCATCAAGAATCATAAGGTACACCACTTAGTGATCGTCATAGGGTACAATAAGCAATCAAATCATACTAGGAAACAGACAATATAAAATCATAAGGATACAAGCGACATGAACCACTCTATTGGCCACTGACTGAAATTTCTTTCAATTATATTTTTAAAATAAGATAGGTGGTATGGTAGGTCAGTGGCTAAAACACTGGGCTTGTCAGCTGGAAAGCCAGTAGCCAGGTTTGAGGCCCGAGCTCCAAGAGATGGAATGAGCTCCCATCGTCACAAATGCAAGTAGATAAATAAGTAGGTAACAGCACTCCATGACATCATGCTGGCCACATGACCATGGAAATGTCTTTGGCAGTGCTGGCCCAATGGCTTTGAAATGGAGATGAGCCCCACACAGTATTTTTTTAAAAATATACTAGTTCTACTAGGCATTGAGAGCAACATATAGTACACTTCTTTTTAATATTGGGGTTCCTAATGACCTTATCATGAATATTATTGCTAATGAAGACATTGGCAGACTATTTTTTGACATGCTGATGTTTTACAGCAATTTATACCTTGTATCACTTCACCTGACTGAATTTTCAATAAACTGTGTAGGTAGACTTGATTGTTATTTAGAATACTCTAAATGAACATAGATATGCAAGATTCGTTAGGCTTATACCAAAAACCTCATTAATGCTCTTTAAACTATCAAATAGCTAATGAAAAAAATATCAAAGAATTAGAGAAGCGTGGGTAATAATTTATTTCAAGTACTTGAAATTGCATAATATAATATTCAGCATGAGCTACCACAGCAATTGTTCATCAGGTTTCTTTGAATACAAATTAATCTTTGAAAATGTAATTTACTCAATATTTTCATTTTTTAAGGCAGCATGTAGCTAATTTATTATTGATTTTTAATTTCTGTTACGCTAGATTTAAATTTTCTCTCTGATGTATAACATAGTGACTTAAAATCAATGAGATTATAACTTTTTCATATTTTTTGTGGATTGTTATGCACTATATTTATTTTATATAATTAAGAATGAAACCCTTGCATCATTCTTTTCACCATAGAAACATCTGTATACTCCATGGGTTGAATGAACTCTGTTTGACTTCTAGTTCAGTCCCATCAGAGATAAACTAAACTTACTTGATGTAAAGGATAATTCAGGTTGCATATCAAACTAAGAGTTTAATATAGTTTTGTGATGATCTAAAGTTTAATTTTATTGATTAAAATCATTAGATACAATCATTGCTAAAGCTAGTCATATTGATTCAATTTATACTTACACATTTCAATACACATATGTAATAGAAAGAGTAATAAATACAACCCTGAACACAAACTATTCATGATAAAACAGTTTAAGCTTTTCCTGTTCTTAATTACTTATTGAACTTAATGCCAAATCATTAAAATGTAACAAACAAGCCTTATTGGGTTGGGACTCTGGAGAATGCTGTTTCCTAAATATAAGCAGAAAAATTAAACAGTCCTCCTAGAGAGTTAAGTCTTGACCTGGCACATATAAAGGACAATTGCACAATTATTAATTTGATTGAGTGTGTGGGTAAGGTCAAGTTCTAGGCTATTGCTTTGTAGGGTTTCTAGGAATCTCTTATCTCTGTTCTTCTCTGAACCCTAGGAAACAGCGGTCAGGTGAAATATATATATTGTCATGCCCTTGGTAGAGTCTGACTCTGAGGGAGAGGAGGAACAGCTGACAGGGAGTGGAGGTTTTGGCTCCGGAAATTGTGGAGGAAGCTGGGGAAGGGCAGAGGCCGGCTGGGCAGTCAGAGGAAGAACCAGGCCCATCCCCTCTTCATCCTAGGACATGCAGGGAAGAATGGAGAAGGAAACAACTTGGCTTACAAGAGAGGAAGTAGCCATGATCCCCCTCATTAGTTGCAGCTGGGGAGAATAGTATATAAGAGAGATGGTTATAACACAGCATTGCCAGAAGTAAAGCATGTTTTATTTTGGGCTGAAGTTATCTTGGTTGGCATCCTTCCAACAGACTATGCCTTATCTCCTTGAATTTGGTAATTACTTATCCTGGTCCGTTGTGGAAATTTAGTCATTGTAGTTTGTTTGGTTTTTTATTTCACCTCTATCTGCTCATTAAGTTCAGACTGTATTGCTTTCTTTTGAAGACTATTTCTGAGTAAGTTTTATCTCCAACTGAGAATTATTGAACAGAGGGGCCAAGTTGGAGGCATTAAAGGACATTTATTTATGTTTTGGATTTTGTTATGTTTGTGTTACACTCTGGGTCATCATATGTATGCTAATGAATATATGTATTCAACATATAATAAATATAGTATTCATTCATTCAAGCAAATAATGCTGTCTAAGTTCCTTCTCAGTATTTATAAGTGTGATCAAAGGGTCCTAGTTGGAATGAATAAGCTTCACCTTCATTTGTAAATAAGATTCAGCTGAAACCTAATGAGACCCATTGGCTATGAGTTTTAGGTTCTCCTCTCCCCCAATGCTGGGGACCTTCCATATATTTTTCTAGATAGGTTGACATACCTCCAGGCAGAACTTATAAACAGGTTGGGAGTATTGCCAGATTCTAAGCTACTTCTGAAAGAGCAGGTGATAACCTTAGCCAGAAGGTTCTTTTGTAGAATTGTGCACTAACTGTATCTGTTCCTGGATTTATAGGTATTGCTCATAGTCACTCATGTTTAGTCATCTGTCATTTGAAAATTTGCAATGAGATCTTTGTGGCACTGCCTTTGGATAAACTGGTTCTAAATGCAGCAGTATGGATAATTATGATGATCATATCTCATTAGCTACTGCATTAGCTCCCAATTGACTTCTGGGTAAAATTTAAAGTACTGGATACTACCAGAAAGCTTTTCAGAGCACAGATTATTTATAGGGCTCCCTGTTTCTGCTTGTCCCATTAGATTCAATAGAACTGGCATGCCAGAGGTCCCTATTACCAAGCAATGCTATCTGATAAAACCCAGGAAATCTGCTTTCTGGTACAACATCTGCTCTATGGAACACCTGACCCCCAATGTTCAGATAACCTTGACACTGTTGAGGTTTTGTAGACATTTTCATTTATTTATTCAATTTCTATAACTGCCAAGTCAACCAGCTTTTGGCTGCCTTGCAGGCATTGGCCACTGTGTTGAGTGAGTCCATTTCTAAGGAGAGTTGCAGTAATTAATTGCAGGATAACTACTGTTTAATAGTTAATTGCTTATTGTGCACCTGGGTGATTATTATTTGGTGGTGGAGAGGTTTTTTTTAATCCTGTAAACTGCCCATACTCACTTGCATGAGATTGACAGCTGTATATAAAGACATTACATAAATAAATTAGTGTGTGGTAGCTTTAACAAGTGCACCAGATAGAAAACACAATCCAATGAGTTAATTCTATTTTATTTTAGGCTACATTACAGAATCTTGCAAGTCTTAAAGTACAATTCTCCCCCGTCTCCTTTACAGCCTGAAAAATTATGGAGGATCTCTTCCGAGCCTCTTGTCTCACCTACTATCCATGGGCAATGCTGTCTCTTATCTGAACATTCCTTGGGAACACCTCTGGATCCAGTCATCCAAGGTCATTCACACATGCCATTACATGTGTGAATATGATTTATAATTAATTAATTGTAGTGATGGGGTCTTTGACATCACTGATACTTCTCACAGCAATGTGGGTTAAAATAGGGGTCGGTGGGTTTAGTTCCAATTTTTTATTAGTCTATCAAAATGTAAAATACAAAGAAAAATGAAAATAGTGGGAAAGGGAAAGAAAAAGGAAAGAAAAAAGTGTAGGGCAAAAGGGAAAAAAAACATATTAGTTTCTGACTCTTCCTAGTGCAGTAAAAAGATAATAACATATAGCCTCAAGATTTTACTTTTATGGAATAATATATACTAGCCATTGTTATAAAAGTAAACCTATTACTAGAAAAACCCAAAATCAAAGTTTCATTTATTTTCCCATGTCAAGCACAAAATCCAGGTAGAAATAATGTTGCCTGTATTCTTTTCTTTGATTAGAGCAGTCAATTTAGTCATCCCTGCTAACTTTGTCAGTTTTTCCAGCCAGTCATCCATTTTGGGAATTAAAGTATATTTCCATTTTTGTGCATAGAGCAGTCTTACTCCTGTCAGCATATATAACAACAAATATCCATTTCTTTTTCATTTTTTTGTCTGTTAAGCTTAAAAGAACAGAGTGATTGAAGTAACTGAATTAACTTCTTGTCTTTTATTTTTATTTGATTTATACCCTTCCTTTATTTTTCTAATTCCATGTGACTGTGACATGAATGATGTTTTTACCTTCTCTTTACTTAACCATGTTAAGTATTTTGGCTGATGGAATGAAAGACCCAAAGTCACCAATTAGGACTTCTTGCTTAGGGGAAGCTGAGAACTTTTGGTCTCTGAATTTTTAATCTAGTACCTTAACCACTGCACCAAATTGGTTCTCAGTGTTATTTATGCAATCGTTGGAATTCAAGAATTTGTAATAATTATGAGGAAAAGAATATAAGCCATTTATACAGGCATGTATTTAGTGAAAATATACTAATAATATATTGGTAATGTATGACTTTCTGTCAATGTAGTTTACTTTGTAACTTCAGTATTTTGTGCATCTGTATTAATAATTCTTCAGTGATCACATGCTACTGAATTTAAGATTAATACAAGTTACTCAAAATTGATTTTATAATGTTTATTATAAATCAAAATGTATATATCAATTGTGAGCATTTTTTTATGTTTTCTTAATTTCTAATTTTCTTATTAAAGTGGGCTACCTTAAATCTATTCCTTTATGTCTTACAGCACTTCAAGTGTCAATTTCCCTCAGCAAGGTAGAAGTCAGTGTGGGTGTATCAAAATTCTTCACCTGTACAGGTATAATGCATTTTATTTTTTTACTATCAGCTTCATGATATATATAATTATTAATATTAACTAGAAAAATTATATTATATTATAATGGCATCTTTAAATACTTTAATAAAAGTATTAGAGATTGTGTCAGTATAGAAATCAAAAATAATAAAATGAATTCAAACTTTTAAATCAAGAGTATGATAATTTACCTGCAAATTATCCTTCAAAAGTCAAAATGAAATAAAGTTCTATAAAGGCATTTTGAAATAGTAGTATTTGATAGTTTATTGTGAATTTTTTTATATTCGTGATGGATTTTTGTTAAAGCAAATTATTTGTACTGTATATCTTTGCCAATGTTTATTAATCTAGCATAACACTAACTAGGTAGCAATAGTCAATGAACCAGCAGGACAGTTTTCCATTTGTAGTAATCATGCTGAAAGTTCAACATGAAGAACAGCATGAATTGAGAACACACAAAAATACAATAATATTAAACATTCCAATGAAATCAATTCAATTTTTCTGTACTAAAATTCTAACAAATCAACATAGTCTTTTGCGTTTATGATTTACAGCCTGTGATGCTGAGTTTCATTAGAAATACTTGTATAGTGCACACATAACATTCTGAATGTTTTGTATATGTCTTAATGGCTATTTTTTTGTACAATAAAATACAATATGGAACATAATACACACACAGCACTTCCTGAGAACTTAATGTAAACAAAATAGTAAACATATCTCTCCACTAGGCAGGCAGGCATTTATATTTGCATTGGCCAATAATTTCTGTTTCTATAGAGTTAATGTAAGTGAGCTAATTAATGCTGGAGTTCAAAGAATAAGGTCAGGAATTAACTCTTCAACTGGCACATTAGCAGGGGTATATAAAAATGAGTCAGGACATCCAGGCTTATACAGTATGTAACCACTATGTTGCTTCCCCCCTTCCAACATTGTTTGGTATACAAAAGATGAACTCCAAGCAATGATTTTCAGGTATGGTCATACATCAGTATATGTAAAGATTGTCGTAATATTGGAGTATCACACATCGCTAATTCTGTGAGAACTGAACACTAAGAACCTACTATTTGATTACTATTTGAATAATACCAAACAATTTGCATAAAATGTACTATTTATTTATTTGGTTGGTTGGTAGGTAGGTAGGTAGGTAGGAAAGTAGGTTGGTTGGTTGGTTTCTATATCTGCTCATCTAGTAAACAACTCTTTGTGGCTCACAATTCAATCATACAGATAGACCAAAAGGAAAGTGGAAAGTTAAGGAGAGAGTAGCATCTGAGAAATTAGGGACTAATGATGGAATCAAGTAGTTCAGTGCATTCACTTTGAAGGAAAAATTCAAATAAAGACAGAGAAAGCAAGGATTTAAGAGTCAATTCACTTCAATAAAGTATATTGGATTTTTTAAGCTATTACATTTTGAAGTATCTCTCAAAAGTAAGATGAGAGATCTAGAATAATTATGGAAATGGGAGACTTGGCCATTTGAACAAAATGGGAAACTTAAAGATGATGTTCTTACTATGATACAGAAAGCGAAAAATTTGTAGGTAGAACCTTTTTATTATTGCAAAGATCATAGGCTGAAGTTCAGGAGAAACAGTCTAAAAGTTTTCTGAGGCACTATTACTAGTTTCCACAAAATACAATTGTGAGGAAGGGATGGTGATAAAAATTGAGATTAACCAAAGAGCATGACTGAGGGAGAAGAGGTTTATCAGGTGTCTAGTAATTAAGGCTTGCTGGCCTAAAAGCAAAAGATTGTCAAGAAGGTTAATAGGCTTAACATCTTATCAGCCCTGTTGTTTAACTGATAAGAGGAATTGTCAAGGAAGAAAGTTTGAGACTTTGTCAACCAAATGTTTTTGTGGTGTTATTGTGTTATCCTGATCTACAGTACAAATAGGAAGAGGCTAGAGAGTTTTATCCACTCTATTTTTATAGATCTTTGGGAGAGTCACCCTTTTAACATCACACTGTCACCTAGGAGCAGGGATCACAGAAGTGGTTGTCTGATGGTATCTGGCCTCTCTTCTATGGTAGGTCCCATTTACAAACCATTTAGATTTTTCTGACAAATAGTTACCAGGATATATAAGAAGGCTAGCTTTAGAAATACTGTATTTAGCCAAAACAAGGATTTAAACTTTGGATAGATTAGAATTTTATCAAAAACAGCAGCATCTCCATCTTCCTGCCTGGCTTAACAATGATGTCTTCTTCTTGACAAGGCACCATACATAGAAGTTTGGAGAAAAAAAGAATGGTGTTCTTACTAAGAAAATGCAGTGGGAATCTTGCTTATTGATAGGAGTTATCTATTTGCTGAACAGTCCATTCCTCTTCCCCTGACTTTGCACAGCTTTCCTTCATTGGACTGAATCTCCCTACAATCATTTAGAAAGAAAAATACTGACAATAATATCTTCCTCCTTGGAAAGACAAGCTAGCTAGCACAACGGAGCTGTTTCTTCAGTTTCAAGAAGCATAAACTCAACATGAGGTCAATTGCAGAGGCCCTGCAGTCCTCAAGAGTCCAATTTTTCCTGGAGATCAACCAAGGTCTTTTCTGAAAAAAGAACTGTGGGCAAAATGTGGCAGAACATGGCTTTCTCTGAAGTCAATAAATTAATCATGAAAAAAAAAGTTTTGAAATTGCAAATCCAATATTATGTTTTTATTGTGTTGATTTAAAAAAATATTGTTTGGTATAGTTTTTTTTTTTTTTAAGATATTTAATTTTTATTAAAATACTGTGTTTACATTTAAGTATCTTTTTAGCATTTGTTATATTCATTCTTTATTTATTTATTTTGTAGTAATTGGTGAACCTGAGAATATAGATTGGTATAATCCACAAGGAGAAAAGATAATTTCTAATCAGAGAGTGGTGGTGCAGAAAGAAGGTGTAAGGTCACGATTAACCATTTACAATGCCAATGTAGAAGATGCAGGAATATACAGGTGCCAAGCAACTGATTCTTCAGGATTTAGTCAAGAAGCTACAGTTGTTGTGGAAATTTACCGTAAGTAAATGCACTATAAAGCTTTGTCTTTCTTCTTATGGTGTTGGAAATGTTGAGTACAAAACTCTGTAAATTTAATTACGAATTATATATTAAAGTGCAATACTATTTCCCCTAGTAAAGTAGTAACTACAGACCTACTACTGTATATACCGTATGACATATATTATACAGTACAAGCAGGGGTGGGATTCTACCAGTTTGCACCTATTTCCTAGAACCGGTTGTTAACATTCTAAGCACTTCAGAGAACCGATTGTTAGAAGAAATTACTGGCCTAATCCTGTAAGGAAGGCAGGAAGGAAACATTCTGGTGTTGCTTACAGAAACTGCCTCTCCGTTAACCCTTATTACATTCTTGGCAGGACTAGACTTCCTGTCTCAGGAACCTCTCTGGAGGTTTTTTCCCCTCCTATGCTGGTACTTTGCTTGTGTGGAGTGACCATTCAAAGTTACAGTGGCACTGAAAAAAGTGACTTATGACCGTTTTTCACACTTACGACTGTTGCAGCATCCCCACAATCATGAGAGGCCAGGTGAGGAGATGTGTCCCTCGATGTGAGTGATGTTGAGTTGGTCACGCCCAGCCAATAACATGACCACCAAGCCATGCCCACCAACTTAGCCACGCCCACAGAACCAGTTGTTGAAAAATTTGAATCCCACCCGAGTACAAGCTGTAAATATCCAGATAACCAATAGACAGTAGTTGTCTCTATCTCACCCAGATCTTTGCTGCATAAGTATGGTAACTATTATATATAGGAGAGTCTTTAACGAAGTTTATTATTTCAAGTACATCATAACCAACACACTTATGTTACTTACATTAGCATAGTACAATATAATGATAACTCAGCTTTCTTGGAAAAATACTAAGAAAATTGAAAAATGTTAATAGTTTTGGTCCATCTATGAAAGCTGTTCGGTGTGCATATGTCCATAACTATGGACTTTAAAATACTTGAAATTTTTAAGAAAGATTTTTCTGAATTATATTTATGCATGACCTTTTTTTTGCTAACAAATAGTGGTCAAAGTGACTCATTATAAATGATTTAACTGCTTTGAAATTCTTACCAAATTAAAGAGTAAGCTATTACAATAAATATATTTCTTTTTCTGTTCTTAGAAAAGCTCACATTCCAGGATGTCCCATCACCTCAAGAATTTGTACAGGGAGAAGATGTACAAGTCCTTTGCCATGTTATTAGTTCACCTGCACCTATTGTCAGCTGGTTATATCAAAATGAGGAAGTCTCAAATATTGCTGACAGTTAGTATTTTGGTAACTCGTTAAATTATATGTTTTGTTACATATTCAGATTGTTTACACTTTATAATCTTCATTACTTAAGAGAATATTGAGTGGAATTGACATGGCTACTACAACTGACTTCATTGTTTGCTCTAAGATTTGACACTATGTGGAAAATCTACCACGGGTTTATGAAAGAAATTATCTGGTAATTTAAATGGAAATTCACAATTAGAAGAAATTTGACATAAATTTGACAGATTCAAATATCACCTTTGTTTTGTTAACTTCTCTCCCCACCCTCCAATTTTTCAGCTCCACTTTTCACCTTGAACATTAATTATTTCCCATTAAAGCTGTGAATGCAAAATACAAGTAACCAAACTATTTATAATAAATATTTATTTATAATATATCACTAAATAATAGTAAAGCCAGCTGGCAGGATCTAAACAGAATTGACTGGCCATAGAAAGATAGTGCAAGTGTTGTTGACAAAGTATTGGGAACAGAGGCGTTGGAACTTGGAAGAAACTTGTGTGAATTACTAATTATTGCCAAGAAAATACATAATTTGTTTATTAAGTCAGATTGATTATATGAGAGTTATTTATCTTTATGTTCAGGTTGCTTCCTATCTACTCCTATCCTGTTAAGTAACTATGGCTGTTTCTTGTAGAATGGTAATATTCATTCTTTTGGTTTTTTAGTTGACAGGAAAATATACTGCCATAATTGTTACATTAATGACTAAACTCTTATTGCCTCAGTATAGTTCTGTTCTTATAGCTTTACTGTAAGAAATTAAAATAGAAATCTACCTAGCATCACTACGAGCTGGTGTCTGTATATTTGGGTGTATTTTCTCCTTAAATTATGACAGGACAAGTTTCTATTGCCTAATGATTGATTGTATTTGAAGTGGGTTAACTGGTGCTCTAGAAGATTGATCTGTTTCCAGAAGTAACTTAAGTAGTTTCCTTATACCTTTACTTTATCTCTTGAGAGGTAAAGGGGTTTTGAAGAGCCATGAATTTATCATGTTTTATCTAACTCCCACGAGATTTGTCTGTGCCTGTCAGTAACCATTTGGACAAACCCAGCTGCAGACTACTGGCAAAACCTGGATATTTCTCTTGGTTTAAAAGTACTTTCCATGCAAGGTGCTAGTCCTGTTTGTAAATGTAAATCTACAATTTTTTCAAATGACTGCTATTTGTTTTAAAAAGTCTAATGCTGTTTCAGAACTCAAACACTGGATGTGTTTACTAGTTCAGAATGTAATGGTGTAGCAGTGATGCTATCCATACTGAACAAGCTGTACTCTTTGACAGTTTATATAGGCCAGGGCTATCAAACCCCTGGCCTGTGGGCCAGATGTACAATGCACTGGCCGCATCAATGTCCAGTTTAGTGAAGGGAGGGAAAGTCCTGATACATCACGTAATGCTGCCATGACGATGTGAGTTTGACACCCCTGATATAGGCTATGACTTATACCCGTGATGGAGAACCTATGGCACGCGTGCCAGAAGTGGTACACAGAACCATTTCTCCAGGCATGCCAGCCGTTCCTGTTGCTCTTCTGGTTTCCAGCTCGTGCATGTGCGCCTGCCAGCTTGTCTTCATGCATGTGGGAGCACCGGAAACCAGAACAGCAGCTCCCCGGCATGCACATGCATGCCGGGAAGCTGAACTTCTGATTTCTGGCATGCGCATGTGCACTGGCCAGCTGGTCTTTGCATGCGCATACATGCCAGAAACTGGAAGAGGGAGTTGCTCTTCCGGTTTCTGGCACTCCTGCAATGCATGCTGGGGAGCTGCTCTTTCAGTTTTCAGTGCTTCTCTCCTGCGCGCACACTCCCGTTTTGGCACTTGGTGCTGAAAAGGTTTGCAAACAGTAACCTAATCAGTAATACATGACATACAGCCGAGTTATTTGAGGAACTGCCTATCTCCCATGGTATTTGCAGGTTGCTATGAATTGATAGGGTTGTTCAGAATAACAGTATAACAGAATTGGAAGGGACCTTGGAGGCCTTCTAGTCCAACCCCCTGCTCAGGCAGGAAACTGTATACCATTTCAGACAAATTGTTGTCCAATTTCTTCTTAAAAACTTCCAGTGATTAATTTTTCTAGCTATCAGGAAGGTTGTCCTTAGTTTTTGGTTGCTTCTCCCCTTGATTAGTTTCCATCCATTGCTTCTTGTCCTGCCTTTAGGTGCTTTGGACAATAAGTTGATTCTCTGTTCTTTGTGGTAGCCCCTCAAATATTGGAACCCTGCTACCATGTTCTACTTCATATATTTTTTAATCAAATGGTATCATTTACTGGAATCCAAAAAGGGGCATTCTCATTGCAGCCCTGTTCTCTGTAATGAAGTTTCTCCTGAGATATGTGTGACTCATAATCTGATGTTACTCCAGATGGTCTTAAAGCCCAGCCTGTTCTTCCAGGCCCTTTGCTAGGTAGCTGGAGCCCCTTGTTGATTGTATTTGCATAAGTCTTATGCTGCTGGCATCTATTGTTTATTTATTTTTTTCAATTTATCTTGTATGTTTATCCTTTTTTTGTGAACTTCCCAGAATTGGTTTGGAGTCCAAGGACAGTTAATGAATAATAAATTAATAAAAATCCTGTTATATAATGCCTGATTGGTACTTCACAAATTGCTAATCAGGCATCTCTTAAGTAGATGTCTATGCACAAAGTCATATATCCAGCATCTCTTGATGTCTAAGCCAAAGCAGACCTGTAGGCTGTGCCCAACAATCAGAGGAAAGAGGATAAATCCAGGGGATGGCCAGTAGCTTCCAGACACATTGAACTCGTTGATCATGTCATCAGTAACACGGTTAATAAGGCATTGTATAAGGTTTCTCCAGAAAGATTTGTTGGAAAGAAAAGAAAGCACTAGAAATCTTTTTTTTTTTTTTTGCCAACTATTTTGTGGTTGAGATGAAAGCTGAATCTTGAAGGTTTATCCTCTATCAATAGATAGCACAGGTATTTCTGTGCCACTTTGCAGGATGGGAAGATGAGCCTGTGAAAATACATCATAAATGATATTTTGGAAAGAACAGGAAAATGTACTTTATTTTTTACTTGAACATTTTTTATCATTTTATTTTATATGAATGATAGTCATAACTTTAGGATGCTTTTAGCACTTTTTGAGATAAATGCAAAAGAGACACAAATTGCATACTTCTCAGTCTGAACTGAAATGAATAACATCCAAGGCTTTGTGTCTTTTCATTGCTTCGTGTCTTTAATTCAACAATCATATCCACCCAGCAGTGGATTTCTTTACTAAAGTGAATATAAGTAATATTGCATAGATTTATTAAAAACCCAAGATGTAAGAAATGAAAAATACAGAATTAAGCTTTCATAAAAATACAGAATTAAGCAGAATTAAGCTGTGAAAAGGGGGCGTCCATAAGCGCACCAACGTGCCTACCGTCCCTGTCCTATTGTTTCTTTTATTTTTCTTATATGTTTCCATGTATTCATAACTATATTTTTACTTATACCTATTATCTTGTAAGCAATTGACAAACCAAATAAAATAAATAATAAATAAATAAAATGTTTTGATGATAATACTTTAACAATGTAGTGGAAGTATTTAAAATTTTATATTTACTAATTGCCATTACTTATGGATAATAGTTTTTCTATATGTTTTCCAGATAGATTTGCCATGTTACCAAACAACAATCTTCAAATTCTTAAAATTAATAAAAGTGATGAAGGAGTATACAGATGTGAAGGAAGGGTCGAAGCTAGAGGAGAAATTGACTTTCGGGATATCATAGTAATTGTAAATGGTAAGATTTATATTGTATATTATTTTTTCTTTAGGTAAGAAATATAATTTATATTTCTGATATTTTGGCATTTTAGAGCAAGGTAAATATATTTTAAAGGTAAAAGTATAATAGTCACTGTTCAGTGTTGCATATGTGCAATGCAAACACTTATAGCACTAGTTTATCACTTCCAAAATAATTATATGTGATTCACTTTTATAAATGTGACGTCTAATTTTGGTATCATCACAACACAGGCCAAAAATCATTCTAAATTTTTATATGTGCATGTTATAACACTGTAGATGATGTGGATAGTATAAAGATTATTTTGTTCCAAAATTTATCCTGAGAGAGAAAAAATTAAATACAAGGGTTATAAATTTTGTATGCATTAGTCAATAACCAGCTATGTAGAATCTATGAGATCTAAAAGAATATTCAAATGTTATGAGAAATGAGAAATTTATTTATATCCTTTTATTTTCATTGGTTTGCTTTCTTCATGAAAGCAAACTGTTTTTTCACTGGAGATTAAAGACATTAGTGAATTCTTCAAGGTTTTTATGCATAAAAGGGTTTTATGTCTATTCAGAATCATTGAGTTGGATTCAATCCTGCTTCTTAAGAATGCAAGGATATTCCATTCCTTTCATTTACAGAAGTTCACAATGGGACTTATTATATTGTTTTAGGTGACTGTAGAATGAAATAAAGCTAAAAATGCTGCAACATTAGTGCTAAATGTTCTATTGGATTTAGCTCAGAATTATAGTGACTCAAGAGAATTTGGGGAGGAAATCCCAAAGTTCTTATATGCTGCCTGTTTTATTAAAATGAGGCCAACTAAATTATGCTTTTATGGTTGCTTACATTCTATTAAATGATTACTTTATAGTTGTCCAATTACCAACACATTTATAAACCAAACCAAACATTATATTCAAGACTTTAAAATCTCCCCCCCCAAAAGCCCCATTTTTTAAATTTGCAATGTATAAGATAATGAACAGGAGACCAGAAAGTGAATTAGAAAAAAAGTACAGAAAAAATTAACAAATGTAGCATAATATAATTCACAGTATAATTAGACATTGTGAATTTGTTGCTACATTGCTCCAAAATGTTAACAGCAGTAAAAGGTAATTTGTGATTTTATTGGTTTTTCTTGGTACCTGTGTAGTGATTTTCCAACTTAAAAAAAAAGATGAATTTCTTACTCAAGGAAACTGACAACACAATTATTCAATTTTATAGGTATGCTGTTAAAAGAATAGAACACATTAACCCTTTGTGTCTGGGAACCCCCCCCCCATAAACATTATATGAAAAAACAGTAAAATCTAGAATGTTTCAAAATAAAAGTGCATATAACAAGTTATAATACCAGTGAGTACAGGAATAGAATCAGGTAGCAGAAACAGATGGACACAGTGTTAGAAATTCTATTTATATAAAGCACCACACAGAATACAGTCACCATGTACTTTACTGCTCAACTATATTACTGTAACAGGAAACAGGAAACTACTCAGAACAAAAGAGCATAGAGTATATACCATAGAGCCAAACTTGTAAACTGCCTTCTATTGGCTGAATACTACTGCATAGAAATACATTCCAACCATGAATTCCAGCACACAGCATCACAAGGAGTTGATGCACTGTTATCGAATAGAAGTTTCACATTTGTCCGTGAGTAAACATTTGGATGGAGGACATTCTAACAATTTCAATAGGACCTTATTTTTAACAATATTGACCATAAAAAAATAAACCATTTTTTTTTGCCATTTACATTAGAGAGCCAATTAACACTTACTCAAACAAAGCTATAAGCAGTTAAAAGCCAGAATTTAACTAGAAAAAATGAGAGAGATTTTGGTGTTAACATTTCTATAAAAGCTTATCTGTGATATCTTATTAGAGGTATAAGTACTGATGGTAGACAGCATATAATGTTTTCCTGAAAAGCATTGCTCCAGAAAAATCTGTTGTTCTTTCAAAGAAAGGAATCCAATGCTGAGATAGCACCTCAAATCTCTTAATGGAGTTCCAGGAGACTAGATCTTCAGCAGGAGATTTTGTAATGAGGTTAATATTTGATGCCTTAACTAGTTTCAGAATTGCCAGGCTGGTTCTTTCTCAGTGTCTCACATACACACATATTCAACTCTCTTTTTTAACAAAACTAACACTTTCTTTTTCTGTAAAGTTGGGAGTTTGGTGTTTGTATAAGTAAAATAAAATGCAATAGGTAAGATAAAACATCAAAAATAAAATAAAGCAAATGCTACATAAAATCTTAGCTAAGTGCCAACCATGACAAGTATAACACAGAGCTTGCCAAAGGACCGCTGCTTGGACTCCATCTTGGGGGAGGGGCAGAACTATGTACAAATGCTTCAATGCTACTTTTCTTCTTTCCCTCCACCTCTCCCCCATCATTTCCTCCTCCATTATTGTAATATTGTAAGCAATATTAATGTCTGATGTTTTCATCTATTTTATCTTTAAGTATTCCAGTGCTATATGGCATTGCTGTTTTATTTTATTTTTTAATGTCAGCTTCATATTTTAGAGCTTTGGAAGTAGGTATTATCATATATAGTACATATAAATATAATTAATACCTCCTTACCACTCATTGTGCTGACAGTTCTGTTAACTAATACCTCTACAGATAATGAATCCAGCTGGAAATTGTAGGACACAGCACAAGCCAGTTTCCTTAGATTCATTGACAGCAGTGTAACTTTCTGTCTCTAAGGAAGTAGGTGGTATTTTATTATTTGATTTGAATAAGAATTTATCTCCACACATCCTAATTTAGTGCCATTCCCGAGGCTTTTAGGTATTAAATTCTGGAAACAATATTTCAGATGGTTTTGAGAAATACAGTGGATACTCATTTGCGCAAGTGGAATTTCAGTTGACATTTGGTTGTTTATTTATAAAAGTATTAGCCTTGAATATTTGCATATCCTGCATGAACTCTTCCCTTTGATGGTCCTTTTTCAAATCAATCATATCCATACACCTCAGATAACAGATTTGTGAAGCAGCTCTTGTTTCTTGTTAATTTGAATGGCTTTTTCAGTAAAATAAAAACCCAATAAGAAACAAACATGAAAATGAAATAAAAACAGATGAAAAAGAAATTATATATACTAGACTACATTAGTATTCCTGATGATAAAAAAAAAAAAAAAAATGAACATCTATATTAAATATTCAGTATTTCTATAAGCATGTTCAGGTAATATAGTGGTCTTTATTATCCAAGCATATGCCAAACTTTGATTGAAAAGATGGTGATAAAGGCTATCTTTTGATTCTTCCTGAGCAAAGGTTATTCTCAGATTTAACTATGGCAATATAATGATTACATTTTCATTACAAATGCTATAATCTATTGACTTAATATTTAATATTGATTAATCCTTTAATATTGCTAGACACATTTCATTCAAAATAGTTGCAATTTGAAAACTGCTTAAAATTATTTCATGTTGGAGTTACTTCCCATATAAGACATTTATATGAATCAGATTATCTTTTCTCTACATTGTCTCCACTACTAGTGATGGAGTAAAATGTGGTTATATTAGAAGATCTGGCTCTGTGCTTGGAGCAGTATGGTGGGATATGGTGACAGTGTATTGTCATATTAGGTTTTTTTTTTTCAGTGAGCCATTTTTCAGCTAAGTTGGGGCTACATTTTCTAACATGTCTAAGTATTTTCCCTCAATATAAATTGTAAAAACCATATGTCATCTGTTGATCCTCATATACAATATTACAGATACAGACATTTTATAAGGCTTAAAATTCTGCCTCAAATGTATATGAAATGTTAGGGTTATACAAATGTTGTACAATATCTATATTAGGCAGGTTAATAATCCCTCCCTCCATAAAACCACAAACCAAAGTCCTGAAATACTTTGAGAATACTAATAGAGATAATTGCCTCACCCCAATTTACGAGATCAACTTGCTAAGTTATTTATTTGCTTACAAACAGAAACATTATCTTTTATAGTACCTGAATGGTATATGGGTGCTTCACCCTAATATTAGAGGGGGGGTTTTGTTTTGCTGTTTTACTTTTTGTTCAATATTTTTTTGTTTCCTCTATTTTATTTTTTATATTTTATTTTATTATTTAATTTTAATTTTATTTATTTCTATAGTATCCCATCTCTGTCAATGATTCTGGGCAGCTTACTATTCAAAAAACATATTATAATTAAAACACTAAAGAATTTTAAAATAATAAAAACATCAAAAATAAATATACATAGCAGCCAAGATACTTGGCCAGTTAGCAGTAAATGAAGGAAATGAAGCCCTTGCCACATCCAGCACCTCGGTCTCAGGACTTTACATTACATTACAAAAAGCTAACAGAGTTGGGGCCTATATTCTTTGGAAGGATAATGTTCCATAGAGCAAGGGACACTGCAAACAAAAAAAGCCTATCTTCCAGTCCCTGGTAACCAGTATTCTTCGATTGATGAGATCTACAGCATAACTATTTTGCTAGATTGAATTGGATGGGTAGACACAGTTGGAAAAAATCGATCCCTTAGGTAATTCTGGTCCCAAACCATGTAGATTTTAAAGACCAGCATATTGAACCGCATCCAGAAATATTTCAGTAACAATACAGCTCATACAGAAATGGTGTTACATGTGCCATATATCTGGCACCACTTACTATCTGTGTAGCCATGTTTTTCACCAGCTGAAATTTCTGAATACTATTTAGGAGTAGCTCTATGTAGAACATGTTGCAATAGCCTAAATGAGAGGCTACAAAGACATGAATTATTATGAAAAGGGCCTTCCAGGCCTTCCAGTCCAAGAAAGGGCAGAACTGGCACACCACCCAGAAGTACACAAAGGCTCTTCTAGCCATGGCTGCCACCTATTTTTTGAGGATCAGCGCCAAAGACTGCCAGATTGGAAACTGGGTCTGTCTGGGATAGTACAACCCTATCCAGAACTAAAGATGGAAGAAACTTATCTCTGGAAGGTTCAAATAACCAAAGACACCCCATCTTGCTAGGGTTGAGTTGGAGCCCATCTTTCTTCATCCAGTCCCCAATAGCCTCCAAAGACTGGGACAGGAATTTGTAGGAACATATACACCCAGTTTTGTGAATCATACCAATGAAATTCAACATTGCTGGGAGTGTGTGTGCGCACGTGAGAGAGAGGGTGTGTGAGAAAGAGAGAATTAATGTACTTGTGAAGAATTTCTAATCCTTGTTTTAAGTCTTAATAATGTTAAGAAGGCAATATTAGAATTATTTAAAAATGAATTGCACACAGATCTGACATTTATTTTTTTTCCAATTATAATAATTTTGACTACTAACCCAGCCTCAAAATTGGAGAAAATCTATAAAATAAAAAATAAATCAGTTCAGAAAATTAACATTTTGAATTTCATATTTAAAACTGTAACAAAATATTGCTAACTAATGTATTATCAATTTCAATTTACATTTTTTCAAAATTATTTTCTTATGAAAAATAATATTTATGCTTATGTTTTCCAGGAACATTATTTGCATTAGAAATTCTCAGATAGCTAAATAAGACTGGAAACAGGACCATTAGCTACTAATTTGCTTTATTTTTGATATCAGTGAAACAAAATATAATCAAATGTTTTCAACGATATAAATGACATATCTTTATTTCTTTTCCACAATGTCTCAGATTCCATGTTGAAACAATTATAGACAGAAAATTTGTAGAAGAGCAGGCAGAACTGGGGTGCAGAATTAAGCATATCATACAGCTAAGAATTTTTACATCTGTCTATAATTGTCTAAGATAAACCCCTTGAATTCTGTTAACTCTTATCTGGTGCCAATTTAGTATTGAACTTTAGTTTACTAGATTTTTTTATATAGGTTTGAGCAATATTTCATTTTACTGAGCAATAAATAAAATCAATTGAACCTTGCCCTGATCCTTTGTGCCTGACATAATTTGAGAAAAAAAGAAATTTGCTCTCAATGTCTAAAAAAAATTGTCCAGATTGTAAAAACGGAATGCTTTACATTTGTCCAGTTCCTCCAACCATTACTTTGCTTCAGAAGTCCTTTAACGCTACAGCAGATCGCGGAGAGGCAGTTACTTTGTTCTGTAAAGCTACTGGTTCTCCTGAACCTGAAATCAACTGGTACAGGTAAGCTACACGATATTTAAATATGGTAGGTTTTGAAATTACTAAATAACAAATAACTAATAAGAGGGATTTTTCAATCAATATGGATTTTTTTAAAAAAATCTCTGATTGAGCAGGTTTTTGTTTCCAGCTTGAATTTAGTTCTGAATGGGTGACTTCCTAAATATTTTGTTTTGAAACAGGTTCTGTGTGAACCATTAAATTAATATGCATATTGGCTAAATGCTGTAAGCACACCAAAATGATATATAATGAAAAAATGTCAGTTTACTTGGATTATGGATACACTAGTATAATATACTGTACAATGTAATGCAGAAGAAAGATTCATGAAAAAAAGTATTTTTTGAAACTACTCTTCTAGAAAATTCTAGAACATTAATGTTCTTTAAATCATATTATGATACCATACTGTAAAGATAATAAACAATTGCTATTTTTTCATCAAGGCAGAATTTTTAGACTTACAATGCAGAAGGGAAATTTCACTAAAATATGTTCTACAGTTTTGAACAATTATATTTTATAATGTAGGAAATAAGACTAATAACTCATAAAATCTGTATTATTAAATTAAATTAAAATCATTAAATTAAATCTTTCTGGTTTCTCTGTAAAATATATATTCTTACAACATGGTTGTTATTGATTACTGCAAATTCATTTACAGAAAGCTTCAGAAATCTATTATCATATGCAAATGATATTTGTGGATAGAAGTAACAGATTTAGTACATTAAGATAAAATAGTAGCTTGTAAAAGAAGATATAATTTGAAATTATTGATGATAATAAAAACATTTTCTTAATAGTAATACCATGTTTCTCCAACAATACGCCCCCCATAGGTAGTCCCAGGATGTTTTTTTAGGCATAAAATGAAATTAAGCCCTTCCCCCCAAATTTAGGCCTATTTTAAAACATGTGAAATTGGGGGAAGGGCAGAGGGCTTGCCGTTAGGAGCGCCCCACAGGCAGCCACCATGCCTCGCCACCAACCTCCCTACTCTCACCAAGTACTTTTGCTGCAGACCCGGGTATGGTGCTGCCTGCAGCAGGCGGGCGGTATCGGCATGGATGTCAGCCTCGGTGGGGCACTTCATATTGGGAGACCTTCTGCCGCCGTTGCTTTCCCTTCTGCCTGTGCTGCCACTGCGTTTGGAGATGTGTGGGGACAGAGACAGGCTGGGTGAGGGGCAGACAGGGAGATGAGGCAAAGGCAGTGCTGCTTCCCCGGCCGGCGGGTCCGGTGGAGGGAGCCCGCAGCCACCCGTCCTTTCTGCCCCTCACTCAGCCCATTCCCATCCACACGCACCTCCAAACGCGGTGGTGGCACAGGCATCGGGCAGAGGTGCTCGCTCGGTGGGGCTCGGCTCAGAGGAAGACACGGCGTGGGCCATCACCTCGCCTTCCTGTCCGCCAATGGGCGAGTGCTATCACTGCCTTGGGCAGCCTCTCCAGGTGGCTCCTTCAGGGTCAGGCTGGAGCGACTCAGGAAGCCAAGCTCGGGTTGGCCCGGCTCTTTCACTTGGCAGGGGGTACACACCCGTGGCTCACTTCCCTGGTTCTGCCCAGCCCTCCTGGCTCCGGCATGGCCCTGGCGGAGGGGCCCGTCGGGGAGGCACCCACTGCCTTGGGCAGAGTTCTGCCGCCAGGCAGAAGGGCACCCCAGGCGAAGCTCTTTGCGCTTTGCCCGGCGCCAGGCATGGACGGTGGCTGGGTGCTTTTCCCAGGGTGGGCCGGTCCTGCACTGTGGCCCTGGGAGATTCACCTCCCCACGTGGGGTTGGGCTACCCTCTCAGGCAGGTGAGGCTTTGTCATAGTAGGGCGTCATTTTTAAAAGAATGGGCTTTGCCTTCGAATATGCCCAGGAAGGCGGCGATAGGAGCGCCTGAAGCTGAGTGTTTCTAGTGGGACTCCAGTTGCAGGGAGGAGCTCTGGCCGGCCCCGCGTGGCTGCGCCAAATGCCACAGCGATGATCCAAACACCGCCGTGGCACGGGCAGAAGGGAAAGCAATGGTGGCGGAAGGTCTCCTGATATGAAGTGCCCCACCGATGCCAAGACTGACATTCATGGCGACGCCACCCGCCTGCCCGAAGATGCAAGGGGGGAAATTAAGTCATCCCTGAAAAGATGGCCTAGCCGTTTTTTCGGGGCTAAAAAAGAATAAGACCCAGCCTTATTACATGAGAAATATGGTATAAATCTTTCATTGTTGATATATTTCTTCAGTCATTTGTATCTCCAAAGAATTTCTGCAACTTCTACCGACAGCATTCTTATTATTGCATCATATTTCCTCAATAATATATGCATGAAATTACATAATTTACATATTTTGGAATATAAATCTTTCTTTATATAAAAGTATTCCATAATCAAAATGGCAATATTCATAATCAATTCAGAAATATTTGTTTTCAAGTTTTCTTCCCTTTTTCATAATTTTGAGCAAAATATATATTCTTGATGGCACTATAATTGCTGTAATGAATAATGGCATATAGTTAAGCTACATGATTGTTATGTCCAATTTGTTAAGTTTCATTGGATTTTTATTTTTAAATATACATCAATATCAACACATTAACAGTGTGGCCTCTTGAGTATGATTCATTTTGATACAAACAGCAATAATAATAATATTTATATTAATCAAATTTATATAATCCTAGTATTGATACATGGTTGTTTTAGAGTAGTTATTCAATATTTCAGTGTTCCCTTTTTAATGCCAATAATATTATATGCATACATAGTAATACCATCTTTCAGCCTCTAATCTTTCCATCTAATTATTACTTATATTCAATTATATAAAAATTATATCTGCTAATATTCCCCCATTTCTTAGTTCTTAGTTCTACCTGTATTCTACCTTCTAGTCGTGTTACCATTACTAATCCTTGTGTTAATACATATGTTTATAATAAGACATGGTCCTTCATATTTAGTTGTTCAAAGTCACAATATGCCATTCAAATAACAGTCATCCTATTATTTAAACATACCTAATAATACCAACTTTCCACCAATTTTTCCATCTAACTATTGCTTCATATAAAGATGTGTATTCTTATTTCTACCTCTATTCTAGTTTTTAATTAGGACATCATTATATTAGAAAAGAAATAATAATAA